AGGTCGGGATTGGGCAACGCCACCATCCCCAGGCACAGGCGGGGGACAGGCAGCCATCACGCCGCGACCACGGGCACGGGGAGGGCCGGGGCAGCGTGGGGAGCAGCCGAGTCCATTTGGCATTAACGTCACTTTTCCGGCAGGGAAAGACCAAAAAACAAAAACCGAAGACATTTCTCCATTTTGCTGGCTTTACCAAAACATGTTGTGATGTCGAAAAGAGAGAGACTGACAATAACTGGGGCTTCTGGATGTGGAGTGCTTGTGCGTGTTTTTTCTTGCCCGTTTCTCTCCCCTTCTCTCTTGCTTTCGGGTTTGTTCGTTCGGGGGTTTGTTTCCAATCGTAACCTTGTGGAGAGTTTCGGGCACGGTCTGTTACGGGACTCAGAAATACACTGTCTATGGCTTTGGGTAACCTGTCTGTCATCCTTCCTCTCCAGCCACGCCAGAGTCATCGTACGCAAACTGCCTTTTTAAGAGAAAACCCCCTTGTTCCCTTAATTCACCCCTCCATCACCTCCATGAGGTGCCACCCCAGGTGTTGCTGCACCCCAGATTTTGGGGGAAGCATCAAACCTCCCCCAGGTTTGCCCCCTCCTTGCTGTGCTGCCAGGCCCTTGATACCCCAGGAGAAGGAGGAGGGAGAAAACCAGCCGGGCTCACGGGAAGAGTTTATTTGCCATGAGATGCTCCCGTGCACGCTCAGGACCGGGCACCACAGATGTCCCCACTCCTGCTGCCCCTCGCTGCTGCGGCTGGATCAGCACGGGACCCCTCCAGTGGGCATGTGCGCGTGAAAGGAAATCTTTTCCCCCAAACTTATTCATTTTTTGTTCATGGGATACTTAAAATATATATATATATCTATATGTAATCTATATATATATATCTATCGCCAGCAGTCGGCTGGACACAAAATTAGTGTACTGCAAATGTCATGCAGAGCCGGGCATTGCAGGTAAATTTAATCCGTGTTGTTTCTTTAACTGGTGACCAGGGGGAAAAAAAATAATAAAAATCCACCCCAATTTGAAGAGGGACCAGCAAGGGCTGGGTTTGCCAAAAGCCAGTGAGACCTCCCCCCTCGCCCCGGGTGCAAGGCTGCAGGTGGCCAGGAGCCGAGGGCTGACATCTGGGCAGCAGAAATGGTCCCAGCCCACGGGGATGGATCTACGTTGCAGGATCTGGGCTTTAAGAGTGGTTCAGTGTGGGGTGAGAATGGAGAAGGGGATGAGGATGGGGAAGGGGATTTTGCAGTCGCCCTGAGAGACATCAGGGCTGAATCTCCAGTCCTGAAAATACTAACGAGTCCCTTAACCTGATTTGGAAATCCAAGCTCCAGGGGTGGAAAAGGAAGCAGCAGAGGTGGCTGGGGCACCCGACAGCCACCACCGGGGTGGTGAGGCCGGTGGGCTCCTGTGGTCACCATCCATGGGCGCAGGAGCATAGCAAGGGAGGGGGTCCGAGATCCTGAACCAAAACGGCAGGGCAAGCCCGGCTGGCCAGGGAGGTGGCTCCTAGTTCCACAGGTGACGCTGGCAGTGCTCAACAGCCTGCGGGAGAGATGGGGAAGGATGGTGGGAGGAGGCAGGGACCCCCAGCATCCTGCTAACCCAGGGGAGGGGACGTGGCCAATGCTTACGTGGCACTCAATTGCTGTGGCCATGTTCTTGCACCAGTAGTGTGGGCCCCAGGCACAGCGGTCCGAGCCCAGGAGATCCTCTTCGGATGAGTTGCAGGCTCTTATTTTCTGCATTGCAGAGGAAAAGCATGGGAGGGGGAAGAAAAAAAATCCCAAGTGCACTCTTTGACCCCCCCTGCCAGCACCCCCCAGGCTTGGTCAAAAGATGTCCATCTCAGTCCGGGCTGTGCCAGGGAGCAGATGTGGCACCCATGGCACAGGGACACTTACGGTACAGACGAAGGTGGGGTCCATCATCTGCACGAGGCGCCGCACGGCCGCCGGCTCGTACTGCACCACGAGCGTCTCACACTGAGAAGGAGAGAAGGGGTGAGCCCGGCTTGGGGGAGGTCTGGGGGTCCCCGCCGGGCTGGGCGCTCGCCCCCCAGCTCACCTTGCTGGTGAGTGGCACGGGCAGCAGCTCGCAGCCCTTCTCCAGCATGTCACCCAGCTCTGCCCCCTGCTCCCTGGGGACCTGCTGTCTGGGTGCCACCCCGCTCCCCCGGGCTCACCTTGGTGGGCGTCCCCACCCCGGGGGCAGCAGCGCAGCATGGTGCAGACAGCCGCCGGGTCGGTGGCCTCCAGCAACATGATGACCACGGCTTTGCCGTAGGAGTCAACAAAGTCCTTGCACTGCCCGATGACGCTGTGGGGCAGCATGTAGCACACCTTCTCGATATCGTTCACCAGTTGCTCCTGCCAGGAGAAGGTGGGTGGAGGGATGGGGAGACACCCCCCCCGCCC